TATTAGGTCGAGTCATAAGTAACTTCCGTTTTTTTATCAGACATTTATTTCGTTCTCATTAAACAACAAAATTATATTATTTTATTATATATTCACCACTATTTTCTATAACCTTCTCCCATTTTCCTGGTAGTTTATCAATTCCTTCCTTGTAAAATGTGGTTGGTTTGGACTGGAAGAAGCTTTCAACAGCCTGCCTGACTTGCTCTTCAGAATTGAAGGTTTTTCCATTTAAAAAGTTTTGTAAGGAACAGAAAAGGTGGTAGTCTGTCGGGGCAAGATCTGAGAAGTAAGGTGGATATGGTAAAACAGACCATCCAAGCTCAAGAATTTTTTCTTGAGTCGCCCTTGCTGTATGCGGTCACGCGTTGTCGTGTAAAAGAATGACATTTCTACGATTGACGAGTGCAGGGCGCTTTTCTAGGAGTTTCTCTTGCACTCTTTGCAATTGCTGAATGTATTTATCCGCAGTAATCGTTAAATTTAACTTCAACAACTCATGGTGACTTATACCTTCATAATCTCACCATACACACAATAAAATCTATTTAGCTGCATCGGAAGTTACTTATGACTCGACCTAATATTTATATAATATATTTATAATATATAATGTATCCTAATAGTATATAAATGACATCCAAATATCATCAAAATAGTACCAAAACAGTATCTAAATAGTATTTAACTTACTTTTGAAGAGGAATAAGCGATTCCCATGCAATTCACTGCCTCGCAAGTATAAATGCCAAGGGAGGTCGGGTCATCAGGGTTGGCAGTTAAAGCAAAAACATCGCCAGCTTTTATTTCCTTGTCATCTTTGAACCATCTTAACACCGGGGTTGGGACACCGATGACTTTACACTCCAACGATACGGTTCCGGTTTCTGTTAAAAGAGCACGAAGCTCCTCCACGAACTCTGGCCTTTTATATGCTTTTGGGACTAAATCACAAACATAAAAAGATATTATTACACTTATTAAATTTAAGACTTAAATCTAATATTAAGACTTAATGTGGAAGCTTATTGGACTCAAATTTAAAATCTTATGAATTTTTTAATTGTAGCATGATTGAAATTTGAGAACTTTTTAATTTTAGAATCATAGGATATTGCAATCTTTGGATTTTTAAATTTTGAGACTGTAGGATTTTGGAATTTGAGAAATATTCAATTTTGGGACCAGAACCTGTTGGAATTGGAGGATTTTTCAATTTCGGAATCACAGAATATTGGAATCTACCAATTTTTGAATTTTGAGACCTCAGAATTTTGAAATTTGAGAAATATCGAATTTCGGGACCATCAGTATGTAGCAAGCTATAACGTATGGTGAATTGGTAGGGTTCCAACGCGTAGTCATCTGACGAATGTCACAAGAACGGTGAATTAACGAATGAGGATTGTGGAGTGAAACCTTGGAAGCATAATGGGTGGAACTGGAACACGTGAAAATATGACGCGTAAAACTATAACGTGTGGAAGTACTACACTTAGAATTATAACGCGTGGAATTACCACGCGTGGAGTTACCGCGCGTGGAGTAACAACGCGTAAAATTATAACGCGTGGTGGTACAACGCGTGGAATTATAATGCGTGGAATTACCACGCGTGGAGTTATAACGCGTGGAGCAACAACGCGTGGGAGTACAACGCGTGGAATTATAACGCGTGGAGTTATAATGCGTGGAGTTCAAACGCGTGGGATTATAACGCGTGGAGTAACAACGCGTGGAATTATAACGCGTGGAGTTCCAACGCGTGGAATTATAACGCGTGGAATTACCACGCGTGGAGTTATAACGCGTGAGGTTACAACGCGTGGAGTCATAACGCGTGGAGCAACAACGCGTGGGGGTACAACGCGTGGAATTATAATGCGTGGAGTTATAACGCGTGGAGTCATAACGCGTGGAGTAACAACGCGGAAAATTATAACGCATGGGGGCACAACGCGTGGAATTATAACTCGTTGGATACAACGCGTGGAATCATAACGCGTGGAGTAACAACGCGTGGAATTATAACGCGTGGAGTCCCAACGCGTGGAACTTGCTACAACCTAGCCACTGTAACTTACGAATTTAGGAATTTTGGAGTCATACAATGTCCAAACTAGAAAATTTCTTAATTTCAGAACGTCAAAACACTAAAACCTTATAATTCTACCATAATACAGAACCTTCTAAATTTTTGTACCTCAAAATTTCAACAAATTTATCACTTTTAAACTCAACTACAAAAAACCCCAATCAAGTGAACAATCAAAAAACGTCTATTTCACCTATGAAAAATTCCAGCTTAAAATATCCATAAAAGAATTTAAATTAAATAAGTTAACCATCATTTGACTATGCTATTGAGTCCGAATCAAAGATGGTCGCCACATCATTCAAGATATACGAACTTCAAAGTAAAATTTTTATATTTTTATATCTTCTTTTCCCACAAGTGCATGTAAATGTCCTCACCAATCACGGTAAGACGAGACGTGCAGGATGATCTGCCACTTCGATTTTCCGCCATGCAGGTCCAGTGTCCTTCGTCCTCGACAGTAACAGGGGCGACATCGACGCAGTAGAAATTTCCTTCGTGAACGAAGGAAAATCTTGAACCCGCGTGTACCGGCTCTGCATTTCTGTGCCAAGTGATCTGGAATTCGACAACAACAACGACACGTTGATAGATTTAAGCCGGTGTGACGTCAACGGGTTGTCAAACAGTTGGCTTCGAAAAAAATGGCCGACAGGTAAACTTTCTTTCACCGTCGGTGTCGTTAGCATCGGGAAATTATTGTGCTATTTCATTGTTCGACGACGTAATCGGCCGTCTGAGATATGAATTCAAGTTCGGGAATGTTGTTGCACAACTTGACACGGGAGCGTGGTTAATTTTGGACCTCGTGTAATTTCGAATCTTTTGAAACGTATTAGTGGATGCGTGCGGATTGTTGCTAAAATTGTGCAACGAGTTAAATTTGAAATATTGTCGTTTAATTATTTTTGCTTTGGAGCTTTGAGGGTTACTTGTAAGTTCGGGGATATGAGTTTTCGGGTGATTGAGATTTTTGGTGTTTTGTTATTCAATTACTTTATTTTTGTTGTTTTAGTATTTTAGTATTTTCGTATTTCAGTATTTTAGTATTTTAGTATTGCAGTATTTCAGTATTTCAGTATTTCAGTATTTCAGTATTTCAGTATATCAGTATTTGACTATTTGACTATTTGACTAGTTGATTATTTGACTATTTTACTAGTTGACTAGTTGACTAGTTAAATAGTTGACAGTTTTGCTATTTTACTATTTTACTATTTTACTATTTCACTATTTTACTATTTTATTATTTTACTATTTTACTATTTTACTATTTCACTATTTTACTATTTTACTATTTTACTATTTTACTATTTTACTATTTTACTATTGTATTGTACTATTGTACTATTTTACTGTTTTATTATTTTACTATTTTACTATTTTACTATTTTACTATTTTACTATTTTGCTAGTTTACTATTTTACTAGTTGGCTAGTTGACTAGTTGACTAGTTGACTAGTTGTCTAGTTGACTATTTGACTATTTGACTATTTGACTATTTGACTATTTGACTATTTGACTATTTGACTATTTGACAATATAATTATCAATTATAATACTACATTTGGTCATAATACACGTTCATTTACAACAACTCAGTTACTTAATTTAAGCTCTAAATTTGTTACTCCACATAATCGGTATAATCTTAACGCAACAGTTTACACATTATTACCTTTGAGCGCTAAAATTAGTAGAGTTTAGTATTTCAAACGGTTAAATGGGGAGCAAAGGAATTTCTAAGAAGCTTTAATATTTGCTTCGGATCTCACAATCAGTCAACATTCCATTACATCGCAAGTCACAAATTTCCATTCGAAATTTGCAGAATAAAATGAACAATTTATTTTTATATTTTGTCTAAATTTTAATTAAATAGAATTCAAGTCCATGTTACAAAAATAATCAAAAATTAGTCACAAGATATAGTCATTGGTACACTTGGCATAGTGATTGAAGTGTTCCAGAAATTGGAACATAATTTTCATCTAAATTGACAACCGAGACATGTACAAAATCTTCAAGAAATTTAAAAAAATACTAGCAGTCTCATTTTTATTAATTTTTCAAATTGAATAAGAATTTATTGGTGTACTTATATTTAAACATTCGAGTATGTCACTTGAAGAAATAAATAAATATTTAAAAAAAATATTCAATGTCTCATTTTTATGAGTTCTTGTTCAAACTGTATATGGTAACGGTTAGTACAGTGTCAAATTTATAATTTATTTTATAGGTAGTTTAGACCAATACAGTTTAGTCTATAATTCGTTTAGGCTAATATAGCTTATTCTATAATTACGTTCGTGTAATATATTTCACCCTGAAATTAGTTTATGATAATATAGTTTATCCTACAATTAGTATATGATAATATAATTCACCCTACAATTAGTTCATGATAATATAGTTCATCCTATACTAGCTTTAGGATAATATAATTCATCCTGAAATTAGCTTATGATAGTATAGTTTATCTTACAATTAATATATGATAATATAATCTACCCTACAATTAGTTTATGATAATATAGTTCATCCTATAGTAACCTTAGAATAACATAGTTCATTCTGAAATTAATCTGTGACATCATATATACTTCATCCACACTCAGAGAACCTAGCTTACTATACTCCCTCTAATATTCCCCTTCTCCATTTTACAATTCACAAAAATTTGAAATTCTCAATTTCCAAGAATTCGATGATTTCGCAAGGTTCTGTCGGTTCCGAGAGATTTCATAGCAGCCCCAGAGCAGATTCCTTTCCGCTGGGCGTTACGCAACGCGGTCAGAGACCATCTTCAGGGAAAACGACCATTTCGAGCTTTACGAGCGGAGGCTGAAGAAGCACGCAGATTTAGCCGATCGGCGAGCATAGTTTCTGGCATAGTGTACGTGCGTGCGTAATAATAGTCGTAATACGACTCGTAAGACCGCGTTACGATCTTCCTTTTCTCTTTTCCGTCTGTGAAAGCCCGGGTCGTGGACCTCGAGGCTTCCCTTTTCGTACGAACCGTTTCCGAGTTTCAAACTCGTGGGCAATAAGTCACTGAATAATCTAACTTCACCCTTCCGGGTTAATCACCGACGTTGGCACCGATTCCTTGTTTCCGAGCATGGCCTATCAATTTTCTGACTATTCGAATTCCTTTTTACGTTTGACGTTGACGAGTGCTGCTTTATGGAAATGGCCAAGATGGCGCGTTTATTTATGTGACGGTCTGGTGATTATATTTTATTGGTTAGGTGTATTTTGATATTTTAGAATTTTTACTACTGGTTAATATTTTATTTACTGGGATATTATTGTTTGTAAATAGGATATTACGTTTGAGAGTAATTTGTGTTTTATTACCTACTACCTATTTACTATCAATAACAACCTATGGGTCCTTATTATTTTATTAAACGTCTATACTATTAATTGTACTATCATTATACTATTAAGTATGTATAATGTATTGTATACTATAATATGATAGTGCATACAGTATGTCTCACAACTGTAGATCCCAGAAACGGGGGGTAGCTGACGTGATTCTGAATAAGATTTCCCGTTGCCAAAATGAGGTATGAAGCTTCGTTTTGGAATTATTAAGGAAAAACACGGACCATGCGAGATTACGCATGCGCAGATGCGAGAGCGGCAGCTTCGGATAACGCGTAGTTATCCAACGCGTGGTAATCCAACGCGTAGTAATGTTACGTGTGGTAATGCAACGCGTGGTAAACTAGAGCGTGGATATTCAACGCGTAGTAGTCTAACGCGTAGTAATGCAACGCGTGGTAATTCTAAGCGTAGGAATCTGACGCGTGGTAATCCAACGCGTAGTAATCTAGCGCGTGCATATTCCACGCGTAGTAATCAACGCGTAATAATGCAACGCGTGATAATTCTAAGCGTAGGAATCTAATGCGTGGTAATCTAACGCGTAGTAATCCAGCGTGTGGATATCCAACGCGTAGTAATCCAGAGCGTGGATATTCAACGCGTAGTAGTCTAACGCGTAGTAATGCAACGCGTGGTAATTCTAAGCGTAGGAATCTGACGCGTGGTAATCCAACGCGTAGTAATCTAGCGCGTGCATATTCCACGCGTAGTAATCAACGCGTAATAATGCAACGCGTGATAATTCTAAGCGTAGGAATCTAATGCGTGGTAATCTAACGCGTAGTAATCCAGCGTGTGGATATCCAACGCGTAGTAATCCAGAGCGTGGATATTCAACGCGTAGTAGTCCAACGAGTAGTAATGCAACGCGTGGTAATTCTAAGCGTAGGAATCTGACGCGTGGTAATCCAACGCGTAGTAATCTAGCGCGTGCATATTCCACGCGTAGTAATCAACGCGTAATAATGCAACGCGTGATAATTCTAAGCGTAGGAATCTAATGCGTGGTAATCTAACGCGTAGTAATCCAGCGTGTGGATATCCAACGCGTAGTAATCCAGAGCGTGGATATTCAACGCGTAGTAGTCCAACGAGTAGTAATGCAACGCGTGGTAATTCTAAGCGTAGGAATCTAACGCGTAGTTAACCAACGCGTAGTAATCCAACGCGTAATAACCTTCGCGCTCTGATTGGTCCGTGTTTTTCTTTAATAATTCAAAAACGAAGCTTCAAACCCCATTTTTGCAAAGGGAAATCTTATTCAGAGTCGTGTCAGCTATCCCCCATTTTAGGGACCTACAGTTGTGACACAACCTGTATAATTCGATTCTTGGATTAATGCTATGTTTTTCATAATGCCAACCTTTTCATATTAAATTGCCTTAATTTTCATATTAAACTGCCTACATTAACATATGAACATAAAAAAAAAATTACTGTATCAAACTTTGTAAAGTTACTCTAACCTTGATCTATGATTAACTATGACATACAGGCACTTATTAATAGCTTGTATTCATTAATGGTCAAATATCAAACTCCTTATTTATGGTTCAATAAGTTTAATGGTCAAATATCAAACTTCTTATTTATAATTCAACGAGATTAATAGTCAAATATCAAACTTATTATTTATAGTTCAATAACATTAATAGCCAAATATAAATTTTACGTTTCTATAATCTTATATATATATTATTTAATGATTTTATCATAAGTAGTTATAATTGTTTTAACCAAAAGGTGCATTGATTTTAACATGATAATGTGATGTATTAAAAAAATGTGTAAGAATGACAAGATTACCTTCGGTGTGGTTGAGCTCCGAATTTCCACTAGAAACCTAGTCCTAGTTCCAACCTTCACTGCGAGATCGGTCAGTCTTCGTAGGAAAACAGGTGGATCACCCTCTTCCGAAATCGGTTCGTCGACGCTCAGATGTATCTTCTTCGAGGATCCTTTATCGAATCCTTGACCGAGCCTCGTTGCAACCAGTGCGTAATGTCCGGTGTCGTCCTTTTGCGATTGTTTCAAGGTCAACTGGACGACATTGCCTCTCATCTGTACGCGGTATCGATCGGACGGTATTGGTACATCTTCGCGAATTCTGTAATCAAATATTAATATATAAACAACGTAAGCGCTTAAGCAACGCAACAAAATTTGTTATATTTTAAAAATGATTATGTATATTTTTGTCCAAAGTTGTAAGACGTTAATTAACTAAATTAGGAAATAAACTTTGCAACAAAAAAAAAGAATGTACTCTTTTGAGGACCATGTACTCTTTTGTTCAAAGTTGAGGGACGATAATTAATGAAATAACGAAATGAATTTTGTAAGAAAAAAATAATAGTATACTGCTTTGCTCAAAGTTGTGGGACCTTAAGTAACTAAATAACGTAATGAATTTTGTAACAAAAAAATAATTGTATACAGCTTTGCTCAATGTTGTGGAACGTTAAGTAATTAAATAACGAAATGAATTTTGTCAAGAAAAAATAATCGTGTACTGCGTTGCTCAAAGTTGTAGAATATTAATTACATAATAGAATAAAATTTGTAACAGCAAAGTAATTGTATAATAATTTTGTTTAAGCTTGAGGAACATCATATAATTTCAAAATAATTCTACATCACCTATATTGTAAATGTAGTGATTCATTTATACGTTGTATAGTAAACAATTTTGTATTGACAGGTGATAATGACCCTAAGGTCATCGCTAAAACTGTTAATGGAACGGCCATTCCAATGCCAATGACTACTTCAGAGAACGGTGCCTTTTTCAGTAGAATTTGAAAGTAGTGTCTCAAATTCAGAAGATGTTTCCGTAATTTCGGTGATATGTCGCCACTTGTTAGATTGCCATGCATTATTGCTCTAACCGTTAGATCGCCACATGGTAAGATACTACGTGTTAGATTACCATACGTTAGATTACTACGCGTTAGAATGGCACGCGTTAGATTGCCACGCGTTAGATTGCTACGCGTTAGATTGCCACGCGTCAGATAGCCACGCGTTAGATTGCCACGCGATATAATTCCATGCGTGATAATTCCACGAGTTATAATTCCTCGCGTTGTAATTCCATTAATTAAATTATTACGTGTTACAGTCCCACGCGTTATAATTCCACGCGTTGGAACTCCACGCGTTATAATTCCACGCGTTGTAATTCCACGCGTTGTTACTCCACGCGTAGTACTTCCACGCGTCGTAACTCCACGGGTCATAATTCCACGAGTAGTACTTCCACGCGTTATAGTTCTCCGCGTCATAGTGTCACGTGTTCCACTTCCACCCATTATACCTCCATTCGATACAGTTTCACGCATTATATCCTCACACGTTATACTCGCACATGTCAGAACACTACTCAGTTTATACTCGCTATTAGACCTTCATGCGTTAAATCCTCATTCGTTAATTCACCATATGTTATATTGGCATTTATCAGACTATCACTCGTTAGATCACTATCATTTATATTATGATACGTTATAGCTTGTCGATGAACTTTCATACATATCACCATACATCATATCGTCACTAATTAAATCTTCATATATTTGTTACTAGATAGAGCACGTTATATCTCTGTATTATATGATAAATTGCTTTGATGGATTGCTATACGTTAGACCATACGTTATATTACATAAATTTCCACATATCAGTCCTGCTCGTCAGCACACGTATTTTTACTCGTTAGATTGTCATATATCACCACATTGTATATTACCACTCGTTATATCATCACGTATTAAACATTCTATTAAATTACATATCACACTGCTACTCGTTACATTATCACTAGTCATATCTCATTATATTTTTCCCATATAGTACCATGTGTTATACAGCCACATGATATATCACCTATTATATTACCACTCATTATAAAGCCACGTACTAAAGTTTCTACCAACAACGAACATCTAAAAAGCACAAACGGTGTCGTTCCCGCACGAGAAAGCAAAGAGGAACACTTTCTAACGAAACGAGGCCGGTTTTGCAATGCCGAAATGTCAGTTTGTGGTTGTTCTCGGGGCGATGGCCGAAGTCCAATCGGACCGACGTTCATTCGTTCGTTTGCTATTTTTTCACAGTGCCAGACGAATCGATCTATTACTGTCTCATTCAATTTCGAATATTTTTTTTCTTTTTGCGTAACCATAGATGCACCCTTAACGTCGCGGCGCCTTCTCGTCGCGAGTGCGTATCCTCGGCAGTGACGCAATGTCTATTTTGCATAGAAGAGAAACAAATTCTGTTTTCAGAAGTCGCGATCGATCTTGTCGTCGTTTACGTTCCGAGAATCAACGGGAGTCTCGAATGGAAATAAATACTGTGGAATCGATCGAGTTTTCAGGGAAATCGCGTTTTCCTGATTTATGAATATGTGGCCTTCGTTAAATATTTGGAACTTTGGTCTTGCAACTGGAACCTTGGAGCGAGAGGTACTAGGTGATTTTGCTTGCGTATTGTCTAAATTTGATTTTGGGGATTTCTGTTTTGAGAGTCTGTGTTATTATTTTAATTTTTGTTCGAGTTTCTAACATTTCATTTTTGTTCAAATTAGGTACATTTGATTTTTGTTTAAGATAGGTATATTCAATTTTTTTTAAGGTAGGTACATTCAATTTTTGTTTAAGATAGATGCATTCAATTTTTGGTTAAGATAGATATATTCAACTTTTGTTTAAGATAGGTATATTCAATTTTTGTTCAAGTTATATGCATTCAATTTTTGTTCAAATTATGTGCATTCAATTTTTGTTCAAGATATGTACATTGAATTTTTGTTCAAGTTATTATATATACATTTAATTTTTGTTCAAGTTATATGCATTCAATTTTTGTTCAAATTATGTGCATTCAATTTTTGTTCAAGTTATATGCATTCAATTTTTGTTCAAGTTATGTACATTCAATTTTTATTCAAGTTATATAAATTTAATTCTTATTTGAATTATAAAGATTTCATATTTGTTTAAGGTACATAAATTTAATTCTTGTTTAAATCATAGAGATTTAATATTTGTTTAAGTAACACAACTTTAATTTTTGTTGAAATTATACAAATTTAGTGTTCGTTGAAATTGAAGAAATTTAATTTTCTTTAAATTAAATAATAATAAATAATAGTAAAATAATAGTAAAATATGTCAAATATGAAAAAATTAAAAATCTTGAAAAATATGTCAAACATGAAAAAATTAAAAATCTTGAGAAATATGTAAAATATGAAAAATTAAAAATTTGAAAAAATATGTAAAATATGAGAAATTTAAGAATCTTGCAAAATATGTCAAATATATAATTAAATATCACATAAAATATAAAATTAAAAATCACGGAAAATATATAAAATATGAAACTAATGCCATAAAAGACAAATGAAGAATAACAGTAAAATAAAGATGGCGGAATCGTTTCGTATCTCTTACATCCCTAAGTTACATATACACGCACAATTACACCATTGATCTTTCGTTACGGTATTCGTAGATCGTTGCAAGATATTCGAAAGCTTCAAACCCCGTGAAGACGGCTCGTGAAAAATTCGATCGATACCCTTAGTATCGAACGACGATTCCTTTTCCCGTGGCTGTGCGTCGTGTAAAAAGGTGACGAAAATAGGGCAGTAGAGCAATGCCAAGTGTTTGAGGTGCTCTAGATCATTTGTTTGCCCGAAATACGTTGGAAGCATGTAACCGTTTCTTATTTCGTCGTCGTTTAACCTCTAGAAACCTATGAAATTCGTGTCTAATTGTACGAGGTCGAGAATTGATCGAGGAAACTGCGATCGAAGAGGTCGAAATCTGTAGTCAGAGCGAAAATAGATCTTCTTGGTGTTTTGACGTGACAAGGTTGGATCAATAGTCTCGTACAAATTTAATTATGTCTGTGATGTAATTTTAGGTTGGTGATATTTGTTTTTGAAGGTGGTTTGGAAATTTTATTTTATACTTCTTGATTATTAGTGGATCATTACTGTGTTAACAATTTTGTTACGTTCATTGTATTTCAATTCTTTTGTGTTAGATTTACTGTGTTTTAATCTTTATTATAGTTACTGTATTTTTAATTTCAGTATATTGCATTTATTGTATTTCTAATTTTATTATGTTATGTTTATTGTATTTTAAGTTTTAGTATATTGTATTTATTGTATTTCTAATTTCATTATATTATATTTACTGTATTTTAAATTTCATTATATTACATTTATTATATTTGTAATTTCATTATATTACATTCACAGTATTTTAAATTTCACTATATTGCACTTATTATATTCATAATTTCATTACATTATTTTTATTGTATTTTAAATTTTATTACATTACATTTGTTGTACTTTAAATTTCTTTATATTATACCCATTGAAAAGCATATTATAATATTTTATATTACTATTATTTATTTATAACAGTATAAAATATATTCTGCCATTTTATATTTATCATAGTAACATAACAATAAAATTGTATCACTGTATCGCCTCGTAAAATTTCATAAACAATGTATAAATACAATGAATGAATAAATTATGAATAATAATTAATTATTACTAGTGTTACAAATAAATATTTCTAACAAACTCAAATGTCAAAAGGCTTTCAGCACTTCAAACACAAAAAGAAATTAATAAAGAGTGAATTGTAAGAATAAAGAAACAAATTGGTTTATATAGTTATTGGTTTGTATGTGACAGAAATTAATATTTCGATACACATTTAAGCATGTTGGACGCATGTGACTAGTCACACTTGTCATGCGTTTCCTGTGCCAAAACGCAGAATAATGAGGCTAATTTGTCAATCAATTTGAAGGAATTTTCATTTGCAAAAATAAATGAATTTTGTTCATGTATTTTTTAAATTCAGCAGATTGAGATGTACATGGTCGTCAAATAATAATTTAATTAGTTAAGGTAGTTTAGGTTAATTAATTTTGATGATTTAAAAATAATTTATGTAAGTAGTAAGTAGTTTAGGTAACTCAAGTATAATTTATGTAAGTAGTAAATAGTTTAGATAATTCAAGTATAATTTATTTAAGTAGTAAATAGTTTAAATAATTTAAGTATAATTT